GAGAGTCATCCTGCGATGGTTATTTTACTGTTTATCCAGCACATCCCAAGATGTATTCAGCTTCCATAAACTAGGACCAGGACTGGAAACAGACCGTTTTAAAAACAACTTTATTAGTTACAAGGACCCTTGGAGGACCCCTGTTTTTAAATGTAAGATCTGCTAAAACTAGCTCAACAATGAAAATTGGAGGGGAGAAAGAAGGCACAAAGGGGAAAAATCAAGAATGATTTATACATGTGATAGGCATGTTTGACAGTTGTTATTTTTCAAATGTAATCTAATGACCCATCCTGCCATACCACCTTAACCTCAAAAACCAAACTGAGCTGGGTGCAGGTTATGAGCAAGGAATCTCTAAACCACCGATGGTCAGAAATTGGGAGATAAATGAATAGAAAGCTTACTCAGTACCTGCCCGGCTTCCTATGCTCTTTCACTGCGCTGCCTGTATGCGTTTTCATATGGGCCGCTATGACCAACGCTCCTATGCTGGTGTCAGCAGACAAGGGTTTGACCCAGGTTTTGTCTGTATACGTGATGTGCCTGTAATTATGACTATCAGTTTTGCATATTTTGTACATGATCTCAAGAACTGAGCAAGGCTGATTACAGTGAGGGATGAGGGGTGTCAGAGTAAGAGAAGAAGGGTATAAAACATGAAATGGGGAGTATGACGACTTGAGAGAAGGTATGGAGGAGGGAAGGAGACAGTGAAGGAGTGGGAGAGTGTAGGAAGAGCTTAGAGATTAACGATCCCAACAGTTGATGAATTCTACCAGTCCATGTGCAAGCTGCTGATAATGGTGGGATGAAAAAGAGATTCTAGTAAGAGCCTGCTGATGCTGTGGTTCGAGTGTTTGCAGTTTGTGAGGGAGCTGAAAAACTTGAACCTGCAGCTCTAAAGGGTTTCAGGAGCTGTGACAGAGTGAGCACTTCTGCCTACTTGTGTCCTTCAAACGGGTGGTAGCTCCCACCTCAACCGTTGCAGGCTCCTTCTTTTTGGGTGTCAATACTAATTCCACAGGTTGCTGAAAAACACAGCTGCCAGAAGCATCTCCATCACACGCCGCTTTGTATCGCCACCTCTGTAGGTCACCTGAATAGATTCCCATTGCCTGAGGATTTGTGTTCTGTGACTTCTGATCACCAAAAATCATCATCGTGCTCCCAAGCTCCTGACTAATCCCCCTTCGGCCACAACTCGTTCTGGGGGGTATCTAAACCCTCAGCAGCCTTAGCAGCATCCACCAGCCACGCTGCTGTTTCCTGGACCGCATTTCTGACATATTGCCCTGTGCATCACGGGTATATTTCATAATTTTTCCTTTTAGCTCCTTTACCTCATGCAGCCTCTGCAGCCCTCTGCAACCCAATGTCTTTTGTCAGCTCCCATCCTCCACTCCGTCCTCTGCCAACACCACCAACCTCCGTATCTTTTTAATCTTGTCCCACAAGGTATTTCTATGCCTTCTCTACAGCCTGTTATGCTTGGGAAAAAAATCTGTTCATCGCACCTCCACCCTCATCTCATTGAAATTAGTGCTAAAAACTCAGTTTTGCTATGAAACCCTGGAAAAACGAGAGGGAGGACTGGTTACAGAAATCAGAAAAGAATCTCCCAACCTTGCCCTGGTATCAGCAGCATCAATATGTGTCTGTGGCTTAGCAGATCCCTTCATGATCTTTTAGTTGCCACCTTCATTCTTCCTCTTCCTTCCCCATCTGTTTTTGGTCCTCCAGTCCTAATTCATGCTGAATACAAATTACACTCCTCGGCAGAGAGAGCATGTTTTTCCATTTATTTTGAACAGAACAGCACGTTTCTCAATCTTTTTTAAAAATATAATTCGAAGCATGAAAATAATTGTTAATACTCTTGAAAACAGAATACATTCCAAGTTGGTGACATCTCCCGAGGAAAACATTATTTTTATATGAAAAAAATGTAGAAGGCGGGGAGTGAGACAATCCAAGATTTGAACACACTGCCTTAACGGGGAGCGTGGCAGATGAAATGCTATATAGCCAAATGCACGTGGTATGAACTAAGAATTGTTGAAACCGGTGGCAGTAACGAAGGTGCTCTGAGTGAGCCGTAATCTATAACAGTGCAGCTCAGAGAGCATTGGCCCGATCTTTATTTCTTATCACAGAGCTTGCAGTTGCTTTCTCTCAGCACGAATAGCATTTTTTCATCTAGAAAATCCCATTCTAGGCTTCCTCTCTTTGTTCACTCGTTACCAAATTAAAATCCTATTAAACTGCACACCTGCAGTGGGTTTATCTGCAGAGCACTGTGCTGTAGCTTTTAATCCAATTCCACACCTCCGTAACACACAATATACTGCAAATCAGGGCGCGGAGAGACTGAGGTTACGCTGTTCGTAGCTCTGTTGGCAGAGAGCAAATCAAACACTTTGATTTGTTAAAAAGGGAGAAAAAATAAGGACATAGTTAACTACTTCACTTAAAGGAACGATAAGTGTTCATCTGAGTGGTCTGTATAATCCAGGTTACAGAGATCAAGTGAAATCATTAACTAAAATGATCAAAAAATGAGAGTAAAATCTTGACCCTGCTTAAATTCAGTGGCAAAATTTCTGCTGATTTTAAGAAAGCCAGGATTTCAGGATGAAAAGCGGTCCCCATCAGGGAGAGAGACAGGCTGAGACTATTTGTTTTGAAAAAGAATAGGAGGCCTTAGAGCAGACATATAAAGTGTGAATGATGTATTAAAAAGTCAATGTGGTCTCCTATCAGACCTTTGCCACCCTATGAGGAAACCCAATGTGTATCTCCTCTTGTTGGGTTAATTGATGTAAAATAAGATTGGGTATCTGTAAAATAGCTCAGGTTCAGCAGAAAAGAACAGAGATGACTTTCTCATTCAATGAAGGGAGAAACAAATTATTTACAGTTCCTACAGTCAAAACATTTCCATGTTTCTTTTCTAATTTACAGCTCATCCAGGTCATTTTGGAAGAAAGAATTACTAAAACTTTTACTGAGTTGGGTCTTTGAGTTGGAAGGGAAGTAATTCTTACTCAACAATATGGACAGACACTTTTTTGCCTCTGATGAACAGCAAATCTTCAGAGAAAACCAGCCTCACTTGACAATTCTTTGTGCTAGACCATTCTTACTATTTGATACAACTTTAAGAAATACTGTTTTCATCCTCTTAAATTTAAGATCTTGTTCTGGAAATACTAAATGCAAAACTGTGCTAACGACGCAGTTATTTTAAATTGTCACGTGATTTGGTTGTTTGACTTTATTTGAATAAATCTTCAGAAGAAAAAGGTGAAATATTTGTGGCTTGGTTTTATCTATTTCTTGTATTTTTTGTCACCAGTAAAGCTGAAGGCCTACCTGAAGTCATTGTGGTAAATTTATCTGGAAGCTACAGAACAGATGACTGACTCTGTGTCAATGCTGCTTTGCGTCTACCGTGCGTAATTTAAAAGTTATATTTATTGCATGTACAACTTAGCACTAATTCCTATGTCTTGAGAAATTCCTGCCTTGTTGCGCATTTCTGCAGGACACAAGAGTCAGTATCTCAGATATAATTCTATTAACTGAAATAAAATACGTTGTATATAATGTTATTGATTTGTTTATGTTAGAAACTAGGTTGTTTGAACTTGTTCTATAAGCAGAGTACAAGCAAAGACTCTTATAAGGAGAAACCCTGGAATAAGTTTGTATGAAACAGTAAATACAGAGTATGAAATTTGTATCTTGCGTGCATCAAACTGCATGAGGAAATTCCCTGAAACACCAGGGAGATTGGGTTTTTAAATATTTTTGAAGAGCACGTCTGCAGGGAGTTGACTGGGCCTGGTTGTTATTTCAAGAAGGGACAACTGCTTTGTTATTTTAAGAAGGGAGATTTGCTGAACTAGAGAAAAGCACGTGTCAGGAGCTTAGCAAGCTTTCATTCATTTGGATTTTGGAGATCTGCATTTACTTTCCACTTGCATCTACGTTCTTCTGTCTCAGCTCAAGCACTGAAGTGGGAATCAATATTCAAAAGGGTGGTATTACAGCAGATGTAGACAGGGCCATGTGCTAAAGGAAAAAGGTAGTCATGCATTCGATTTTGCTGGTAAGATTACGAGTTTGGTGGAGGGATTACGTACTCCAGGGAAGTATCTTCCCAGTCAAAAGAACTCATTTGGGCCTTAAGGCCCATTATACCCGTTTTCACTGTCCTTCAGGTTTTTCTGGTGAAGATAAAAAACAAAGCAGGGGGTCTAGGAAAAAGATATGCTAAAAATACTCAATATTTTCCAGTCCGCTTTTATTTATAAGAGTTTACATTCTAAATTAGATATGCAGCGTATTCTCACGGAGCAATTAAGCAGAAGTTGCAACAGCAGACGACCTTGTAACCTGTTCTTCACAGCTAGGGAAGGGTGAGGTCTGTTAGCTGTAGCTGAGAACCTTGTGAAAGGCAAAGGCTCCTGTGAGATGCATTCCTCCCCGTCTCCTATTGAACCTGTACTCCTTAAATAATTTGCAGGACTGCGATGAAAGTTTACAAGCATGTATTTTAAAGAATTACAAGTTTGCGTGGCCTCCCCGAAGGGGTCTACTGCCAAGAACAGAGAAGGAGCAGGATGCAAAAGCGCCTTCCCTAAACAGGGCCGCTGACAGAAAGTCAATACACTCAGTCAAACCTTTGCCTAATTAAAACCTTGCCTGGGGAACGTAGAATTTAAGAGAAGCTCCACGTCCTTGCATATGAAAACAAATCGCGGGAGCGCGGGCATGGGCGACGTCTGCCTTCCTTCTGGGGCTGGGGGTCTCGCCGGGGTCTGAACGAAGCTTTCCCTCACGGATTCTCCGTTGTTTTTTTTCCCTAACACACGCAGAGCTCTCGCCGCCTCCGCCTCGACGGTTTGGCGCGTGCCTGCTTTGGCAGGACTCGCGGCGAAGCAATTTCGTGAAAAAAACCCCCAAACCCTCCCCGAGCCG